CTGGGCACCACTGAGCAGAGTCTGGCCCCAGCCTCTTGCCCCCCGGGGCCCTTGAGCTCTTGCTCAGCACTGCTCAGATCACCTCTGAGGCTTCTCCTCTCCAGCTCAGCAGCCCCAGGGCTCTCAGCCTGGCCTGGCACAGAGATGCTCCAGCCCCTCTGATGGACTCTTTAGCAGCTCTAGCAGGCAGCCTTGACCCTAAACCTTGACACCAGGTCCTGCTGGCAGAGCAGGACACTCTGTCTTCTTTGAAAGACTGTCAAATTTTATTCTGAAGCTGGCAAATAAACCAAATAGGAAGAATTGGATCCATTTTCCCCCTGCAGTGGGACGTGCAGTTTCCTGATTAAAAAAATCACTTTATGCATTTCCAGGCAACTCGTTCAAACATAGTAATTATTATTTTAAAAAAAAAAAAAATCTTATGCAATATTTGTCAAAACAACTTTAGAAGCCTGCAAGGAGAAATGCTTTGATCTTCTCTTCTGACTGGAAGAGAAGGAAAAGTTGATAGACCGTGTTGTTTTTGTTGGGATCCAGGGTGGAAAACTCCAACGTTATGCAATTTCCTGTAGAACAGCTGAATAAGCCAAAGAAAAAAAAGTTCAGGAATTGCTGGGAAGCACTTGGAGACTTCAGGGGTGGAGACAAAGTGGGTGCACAAGCTGATTTCACAACGGGGGGGTTTGCTTGTCGTGAATTTGTGGTGATGCCCGGGGGGCGTTTGACCCTTCTCCTAGCAGCCAATCCTTTTTCCCAGTTGGAGAGTGGAGCTTTTTGGGATAATGTTGCTCCCTGCAGGGTTCTCAGTAACTTGAGAAGCGTTGCTAATGAAAATTGTCACAGTCACGGGTGACACAAAGCTGAACAAGCTGGGCCAGTGGGATCAATGGTGTGCCCTGGGTGGGAAAGATGTGCAGAGTAACACTCGCTTAGCTGTGAGAGTGAAAATCATGATTTATCTTATATCTTTATCATTTATCTTTCTCTTGTGGCGCTGTCAGAGTCCAGCTACCTAAAGAAAAACCACCACAAACTCCTATAGAGAAGACTCCACTTTGTGAAAGCCACCAGAGCTGGTTACATCCAGATCCCTTCTTGTAACAGGGCGATTCGAGGCACGTTTGAGCAATCTCTTAATTAACAGCCATGAAACTGGAAAAGATCCAGTGCTGTAAGTGCTCTGAGGATTCAAGGTGGTTGTGGTTCCATAGGTGAGCCCAGCAGGGTTGGCACTTCAACGTTCACAACGTGAAAAGGCTGCTGGGCAGATGGTTTGTAGCTTGCTGGAATGGAGGTGGCCACACAGGGGTGTTGTAGGGGTCTGCTTGTACTTGGAAGGTGTTGGTGGCTGGGAAATCCCTGGAATAATCAGAATTTCAACCAGTGTGGTTGAAAGAATAGTGGTAAAAAAAACCTGAGTGAGCTTTTCCAGCTTGGGGGAGGCTGTCCATCACTGTGGTGGCTGGACACCAAGGCATAGAATTGTTTGGGTTGGAAAAGACCTTTGAGATCATTGAGTTTGACTGTTCACCCAGCACTGCCAGGTCACCTCTAACCCATGTCCCTCAGCACCACATCTACATCTCTTTTAAACACCACCAGGGATGGAGACTCTACCACTGTCTTGGGCAGCCTGGGCCAGGACTTGACAATCCTTTCAGGGAAGAAATTGTTCCTAATATCCAACCCAAACTTCCACTGGCTCAGCTTGAAGGTATTTCCTCTTATCCTGTTGCTTGTCACTTGGGAGAAGAGACCAACTCCAGCCTCCTGTCAGGGACTTGTGAAGAGCAAGAAGGTCTCCCCTGAGCCTCCTTTTCTCCAGGCTAAACAACCCTGGTTGCCTCAGCTGCTCCTCAGAAGACTTGTGCTCTAGACCTTCAAAAACCAAACACTGGTGATGTCAAATTGGGGGTTGAAGTGTGAGGTGGGCTGCTAGCAGGGGGAGTATGGAAGGACCAACCCAGTCTTGAAGCTCTGGTTGCTTCTCATCTGGAATTGCAAGGAAGAACAAGGTCCTGTGGGAGAAAATTGCAGATGGAAAGGGATGGGAAGACTGGGAGGATGGGATCTCCCCCAAAAGATGATGTTGGAAAAGACTGGCTCCTTTTAGCGTGGCAGAACAGAGGCTGAGTGGATATAGGTGGGGTTTTTTCCCCCAAAAAATATACTGGAAGCCTTGAAAACTGAGCTACAGGAAGAAAAGCTCTGTCAGCTATGAGATCACACTGACCTGGAGCTGAGGTAAAACAAGTCTGAGTTCAATGAGACAATCAGAGGTAGAGTCTTAAACACTAGGAAAAGTTGAGTTCTTCTTAAAAACAAAGGAGGGCAGAAATCCTCCCTGGTTTAAGGTAGGGTTTAATAAATCTGTATTTGGTACAGCACTTAGGACAGCTTTAGACAGCTCGTAAGGCTCAGGAGGACCTAAATTCCCATCTCTGTCAGTGATGGGCTAAACCCTGAGCAAGGTTTGGAACACCGAGTGACTGGAGCCGTGAGGGACCTCAGCTGAACTGTCCTTCTGGGTTTGAAGATCTGAGACTATAAATGAGGTGTGGTGTGTAGGGAGAGAGACTCGTGTGCCAAAAAGCACCTCTGAACTTTCAGTGGTATCAATCCCCAACCAGCACCAACCTGTCCTTGTGAGACTGTCCTTCTGCAGGAGGTCTAGGGAGATGTAATCTCTCTCTGCTTATCACACATGCAGATGACTTAAATTTGGTGTTCACAGGAGGCAGGAAGGGTGATGTCCTTTATAAAACATCTGACCTACCTTCCGTGGCAGTTAATTCCTGTCTGAATGAAAAGGAAACCACGTTTTATGGAGCTGTCCCATGCCTGGGAGGGTTCACCAAGCTTTGATAAGCTGTTCCAGTGGTTGGTTGTCAGCCACCCGTGAAATTACCACCGTGGAACTGATTTCTGCTCTGATTTGCCCAGCTTCTACAGCCTGTGGCTCTCGTTACACCCCTCTACTGAAGTGAATTGTTCATTGCTGCAGTTTTCCTCTCCCCCATGGAGATGCATTTTGTCCAGGATATCCCTCGGATAGTGGTTGGTGGGTTCTTTGTCTCCTTCACTGGAAGGTCTGTCCTCCAGGGCTTTAATCTTTCCAGTCGTCCTTCTCTGCACAACCTTTAATTTATCACTTCCTCCCCTGCATTGTCCAACCTAGAACTTGATGTTGTCTTGCAACAACCACCATTCCAGCCCCAGGTGTACACAGAACAAACCCTTCTGCTCTTCATCTGGACAGGGTGCTGGGCCATCTTGTCCATACCATGCTTTTAACCATAAAGTTTGGGCCAGGTGATCTTTGAGGTCCCTTCCAACCTGGTATCCTATGATTCTGTGATGGTTCTATGAGATGAGAACCAAACAACAACGTTTGACAACTGTGGCCATGACATGGTAGCCATGGCATCAGTCTAGTTGGTGTCAATGTCTTTCTTTGGAGCTGCTGTGCAGGATGGATGATCACATGATGGATGGGATAGAGGACAATAGAGAGAGTGTTGACCAGAGTGTCGAGCCAACCAGAGTTCAGCTTCAGTGATTCAGGGAGGGTGGATTTTTCCTGGAGACCATTGGGATGGCTGTGTCTGGAGGCTCTACCATCTTCAGCTGTGACTCAGTAGCAGGAAGCCATGCTGTCCATCACCGTGGCTGCAGTGATGCTTGGTGATGTGTTCAGCTAATCGAAGCTCCCACCTCGACCGGGCGTGCACTAATAACAAGTCTAGAGGCTTGTTGGGGTGGAGTTGTTCTCCACCCTCCTGATGAAACTCTGCCACGGGGCAGAAAGGAATGTGGGTTTCATTCAGCTGGAGAAGGGTGAAAGTGTGAGGATGACTCAGTGAGCTCCTCAGATCTTTCTTCCAGGAGCCGTTTGATACAAAACGTGTCTCCACGTAGAGGAGCATCAAGGAGAAATCCTACAAGAAAGTTGGGGAGGGACTTGTTGCAAGGACTTGGAGTGAGAGGATGAGGGATGGTGTCTTCCAACTGGAAAAGGGGAGATTTAAGGGTGGTGAGACACTGGAACATGTTACCCAGAGATGTTTTGGGTGCCCCTTCCTTGGATGTGTTCAAGACCAGGTTGGATGGGGGTCTAAGCAACCTGGTCTA